TCTACGGAAGCCCTGGAGTGCCATGCAAAAATAAAATTATAACTTGTGCGCACAAGTTAGTAATGAATTTCAAGGCTGTGACGTACTATGATTTGTTGGTATTACAATTACACAATCTTATCAAACAAATGTTTTCTTGAAATGGTCATTTGGTAATCTGAATGCAAATATATTTGCTACAACTCAGTTAAAGCTTTTTTTCTCTCATGAGAAAAGTAAATATGCTAGATCTACTTACTGAAGGTGTGATGAGATGATTGAAGATGTTAATTTTCTCCTTGATAATATTTATGTACGTTTCGGCGATAAAGTTCATCGACGGGTTGTATGTATTAATATGGGCACCAAATGCGCTCCTTTTAGTTATGTCTGCTTGTTGTGATCATACATCTTTGCTAATGTAATGACATTTTGAGCGATTGTTATACAAGTGAGAGGTTTTAATAAGCTATAAAACCAGATTCAATCCACCATTTTATACATCAGAAAATGCCTGTAGACGGTCAGGAATATGACTGTTGTTATCCATTTGTTTGATGTGTAGGAGCTTTTGATTTTGCCATTTCTTTGATGACTTTCTGTTTTGGATTTTCCTCGGAGTTCGGTATTTTTGTTATTTTACTTTGTACTATTATGAATCAACACTTACCGTTATCTTGATCCTATGTTTTCGCTTGATAATGAAGAATTTTCGAAATTTACTGCAGACATGTACCCAAAGGATCTTACTTTAAATACATCAAATACTTATACCTGTCCTTTCCTAGATTTAGATATATCAGTTTATCGCGGGAAACTCTACCTTAAATTTACAACAAAAAGGACGATTTTTCATTCCATATTGTGAATTTTCCTTTTTGTACGCTGGTGTTCCTTTGACACCTTCGTACGGTGTTTATATATCACAAATCGTTCGCTATTGCCATGTCTGTTGTGACGTTTCAGATTTCAATGAAAGTAACCTATGTATTACTGCTAAATTATTAAGTTAAAGATTTCCTTACGAAAAATTACTTAAAATCTGTATTAAATTTTTTCCATAGATATAAGAATTTGGTTTTGAAGTTTGGTTATATCTGTAGAAAACTTATTATTAACGGGAAAGCACACCCTGTTTACGGTGATGTCGTTGACCGAGCCCGGAAATTTAAAAATGATCCGGATAAATTAAAAGATATTCTAAAAGGTTACTAATTCAACACTATAATTAGGTCTTTGAATTATTTTGTTATCAGTAAATTAAAATCTAACTAAATATTATTTATATGTATTTGCACATGCATTGCTCTACAATCTGTCGATATCTGTAACTTGGCATTGTACAAGGTCATGCTTTTCTCTAACTGTTTATGACTTCTTTACACTAAATACATTGGATGTTGGATATGCATTGATTGGTATTTTTGTCTAAGGTGCATGCCTTTTTCTATTAGTTTTTATTGTCTTTGAACTAGCTGGAAGTAGGTGTAAGTACTCTTAATTATGTACTTAGTGTCTTTTTGTTGAGGGGATGTAAAAGTGCCTTGCCCCATGCACTCCGTGTTTTTGTTACTTGTTTTTGTGCTTTGTGTCGATCTGAAGTGTTAAGCCCTATCAACTGATTCTTATAGTTTGTTCATATGTTGTACTGTTACACAACTGTTTGAGATTAGGGAGAAGTTTGCGCGGTTGCTCACATGTTTAACCCCACCACATTCTACATGTGCTTGTCCAAAGTCATGAGCCTGTAATTAATTGGTTGATGTTTGTTGCTGTTTATCATATGCGTTGTTTGTTAATTGTTTTGTACTTCTTGTATTGTTCTGTTGCACCACTCTCCCATGATTAAGGGGAGGGTTCGGCATCCTCTGACATGATTAACCCACACATTCTGTATTTACCTGTCCCATGTCAGGAGCCTGTAATTCAGTGGTTGTCGTTTGTTGCTGTATATCATATTTGTTTTTCGTTCATTATTTTGCACGTAAATCAGGTCGTTAGTTTTCTCGTTTGAATTGTTTTACATATGTCATGTCGGGGACTTTTATATACTACCCATTACTTTATGTTTAGACATCACTGGCTGTCGAATGTGTTGGCTCTAGCGTTTATAGTAAAGGTAAATCAAGAAAAACTTTTCAAAGGCACAAGATTTATAATGTGAATTGTCGATGGTTGTGTATGTAAATTTATATACTTTTAAGCGTATTTTCACCTCTGTCTTTTATTTCTCGGTACATACATATATTTATTTTTTGGATTTGATCAACTGTTATTGCTTTGCAGTTTTAATAATATGCAAGACTTAGCGCACATTTCATGCTACTAAACCAAATAAATGCAACTTAAACCGAATGGTGAATTTCCAAAAGCCCTTAGCAAAAATACTTCCAAATCTAATCATTGATTTTAATAGTTACTTTGAGAAAAGATGTAATCCTTAATCTAATTTATTCAATTTTTTCGTACACTTGACAAAGTAATTGTAATTCAATCAAAGTCATCGGACCAATCTCTGATAGTCAACCAACTCCTGATGGCGTCCAATAAGTGGTTACTACGAGGGTTGTCCGTAAAGTTCGTGGACAAGCTGAAGTCTGCGTAAAAATAGCATTTCAGGTAAATTCTTTTTGCATATTTGTAATCCTGAACTATATCCTAGTTCGGTTATATCAATATTTGTCCAATTTTCAATGCGAAATAATAACACTTACTTCATATAAATATAAGCAATAGGGACCTGGAGCACCGCGAAAATATCACATAACATGCAGGCTGGTGTTTTCATATTTTTGTTATTTTAAGTTTCAAAATCCGCCAAAATATACATGAAACTTACATTGTGACGTCGACAATAGTCTTGACGTTACACCTGCTAAATTTGAATGGTCAAAATTTCGAAATGGCGGATAATCTCGATTTGAAGCATTGAATCCAGAATCGGCATCACTGAAAAAAAGGAAATTTACGGAAAAGGTGGAGCAGCGGGCGGTTATAAAGTTTTGTGTAGACATCGGAAAAACGCCAACAGAAACACACAAATTCTTAAAACAGTCTGAGAAACATAGCAAAGTTAGTCGTTCATTGGTATTCAAGTGGCACAAAAGGTTTGGGGACGGAAGAGACAATTTGGAAGACGATGAGCGGGAAGGTAGGCCATCTTTCAGGAAATCAGATGCGATAAAAAATGAAGTTCTGAACGTTATCAACAGTGACCGGCGACTAACAGTTCGCGAAGTTGCAGACAAATGTGACATTTCTAAGACTACAGCGCACCACATTTTAGCAAATGATTTAAATATGAATCGAGTATGTGCTAGATGGGTACCGCGACTTCTTACAGCAGAACATTTAACAAAAAGAATGGAATCGTCAAATCAATTTTAAAAAAGTTTCTCGTGGTGGCATACGATTTCTAGACAGAATAATTACAACCGACGAAAGCTGGTTTCATTACTACGATCCTGAAACTAAACAACAGTCAAGTCAGTGGAAAACTGTAACTCACCGCCACCAAAGAAGGCAAAGGTAACCAAATCAATGGGAAAGAATATGTTCATTCTCTTCATGGACCGAAAAGGAATGTTACTGACACATGCTGTACCCCGTGGCCAGACTGTTAATTCTGAATACTACTCCAAGGTATTTAACATAATATTTGCTTTTAAAAATAATGAACGATCTTAAATTAATAATTAAAACCTAAATAAAATGAAATAAACAGTTTAAGAAGGTGTTTATCAAAGAATAAAAAATAAATTATCAATCTTATTTTTAATTTAGATGCAATACGATTAAAAGTCCGTTTATTTTGTACTTTCAGGTACTGAGGCGAGATTTGGTTCAAGCTTTGAGAAAGAAACGCCCTTATTTAGCAGCCAACATAGAGCAAGTGATATTACACCAAGACAATGCACCGGCCCACACTTCTCTAAAAACTAATCTAGAAATTGATTTACTTGGATTCGAATGTCTGAAACATCCTCCGTATAGCCCTGACTTAGCGCCAATGGATTTTGCGGTATTCCCGCATATCAAATCTTTTCTCCGTGGACAAAGGTTCGACAATTAACAGAACAGTTTGAGAAAATATTTGATGACTGGTTAAAAAGATGTAAAAAATGTGTTGCTTTGAAAGGAGACTACGTTGAGAAAAGTTAAAATGTTGACGTCGTCGAACGTCTGAACGTCGGAAATATTTGTTTGGGTGCTCCGGGTGAGAGTTTCTTATGATTTTTAAATTGATGAAAATACGATTATTTAAGCAGGTACTGTAATAAAATTTTGTACACTTAATCAGTAAATCAGTAAATTAGTTATATACTTGTTTTATTCATTTCGGACGGGTAAGTAATATTTTATTGAGATTGTCTTTAAACTTTACGGACAACCCTCGTATATATCATATAGCTTTTTCAATATTACATCTGCATCGACACGAGACACCAATATAATCCCAATAGCTATGCTCGAGGGATTAAATTGGGTTGCGGTTTAATGCAGTGTGTGATATTGAAAAAAAACCCTACCATACAAACTAAATTATATACATATACCTCAAGTACAACTAATTTAGGTGTTGTTTTTTTTCATAAGATATGACGTAAAAGATATATAAGGGCTTTGTAACCTTGACTGATATCGATTATGTGACGTCATTCAGATATTGATATTAACACGGTTGGCTGATACAACATAATTAATTACCATCAATTGAATTCCAAATATAATTTACTTGTATTTAATACTAAGTTTATAATAAAAATATATAATATTCCATTGTAGCTTAATCATAGACTAAACACAATAGCCTTCACATTTGTAAGGACAAATTTAACTCCCCATTTATTTATTTACCAATTATAATAGTTTAGTAGCCCGACTTTGTAAACAATAACGTTAAATTATCTGCAGTAGTACAAGGTGTCAATAGTTTGCGAAATTGTTTGAAAATTTGTATATTTTAAACTCAGAAAGCGGTTCAAAAGGCTCCGACGTCTACCTTTTATTATTTCTTATAGAAGGCAAGATATGAAAACGGATATGAACATATCAGATCATGATGGTCGAACGGCATTACATGCGGCGGTTCAATGGAATCAAGAAAAAGTGATAGACTTTTTAATCAAGTGCAAGGTTTCGCCTTTTGTAAGATGGAGGTATGTATTTAGAAACTGTTTTGATAAAGCGATGAACAATTGGTTTTGATTTTGTTAAAATAAAAAAGGGCTTTTAACATTATTGAAACTTTTGGCAGCCTTTCTCATGTTTCTTATGTCAATTTCAATAGAAATAAAACAGAAGGTGTGTGGCTTGAGAGACTTCAACATTCGAAAGATTAATTTGAAAATATAGTCTGCAAAGAAACTTGAAACATATTTTGGATACAATAATAAGGAATGCCAAAAATTAAACACAGAAAATTAAATTGCTAAATCTGAAACATATATTCAAGAATGAAACAAATCAACATAATAGGAAACATAACAATTTCACAAAACCATACATACATTGCATCTAATATGGTGATAAAATAAAACAAAAGTAAAAAAATACTACATATACTGTAAGTCACCCAAGAGCAATTTGTCCTAAACCAAGATGTTTACTTACGAACACTCATGGAATTCGATATCTGCTCCCCGGAGTACCTCTATATGTGTATAAAATTTCGTCAGTTTTAGTGCTTGCTCTTATTCATATGATTTGTTTGATTTTTTTAGTCAGTAGTAGTGTAAGTCTGTGATGTATGTTTACACAGTTAAGGCTGCCGAATCTCAATTATTGTCACATTAACCTATTAGGTCTGTTTTGGTTCCTCACAAAATTTTGTCAACGAAAATAACTAAAAACAGCTGTCATACATACTTGATGTTCGTTATTTTTGTTATTTTAATTGTAAGCTAGATATAAAACCAGGTTTAATAACCCATTTTCTTCGGAAAGTCAGGAATGTAGCAGTTGTTGTTTTTCACTTGCTCCGTTAATTGAAAGCGTTTGATTTTGACAGTGTTTATGAAATTCCCCTTTTTGAATTTGCCTTGGAGTTAGGTATGTTTGTTTAACTTCTTGACTTTTAAAAAATTAATGTGGTAATCAGGATAAAATAGTTATAAAGTTTGCTTCGGCGGGGGCTTAACAAGTCCATCCAAGAAGAATTGATTCATGTTGTTCAAAAGGAAAATTCGGTAAGAAATAAGATAATATGGACAAATAATTATACTGAGACTTCATAATCAACAAATAAAAATGTTCTTAACTTCATTAATGAATCTAAAAATAAAGCCATCAATAGGGATAAACAGGTGGCTTAGAATCAAATACAGAAATACATAAACCTTATTGTACCATTTTTTTTCTAATATATGACTGAAAATAGATTATATATATCAATGTGGAAATTATTGCAATATATTATTCCACAAAAAGCTCGTTTTGCAATGAAAAATAACTTAGACTGATAAGTGTAATTTTTGATATTAAGAAGGAGATTATGCAAACTGTTTTCAATATTGTTCATAGGAGACTGAATTTTAGCAAAATATGTATGATCTCTTTAAAAGAATTTGAATATATATAACAGGGATGGGGTAATCGTAATCTGTAATCGTAATCGATTGTAATTGATTACATTTTTCCCAGTAATCGACAGTAATCTGTAATCGAAGACATCTTCGATTACATGTAATCGTAATTTAATCGATTACAGCAAAAATTATGATGTAATCATCGATTATTTTTCGATTACATTTCGATTACTTTAGTAAAACAGTTTGAAGAAATATAACATATATTAAATGAAAATATGTATGTTTTCATCACGTTATAGTACAGATAAAAGTAGAATGTATTAAAATGACTGAAGAGTTTATCAACTGCCTTATTTCTATCTTTTGTCTCAAGCTGCAATATGATCAACCAGAACCCCTACCAAATTTTACTTTATATCTAGCTTTTGAAACAAATGAATTTATGTGCTTGTAAATAATTCAAGACCTTTTATATTAAAATAAGAAAATAGATTTAAAATAAGAAATGAGTCTTAAGTTAAGTTCTGTACTACATTAAAGTAGTAAGTTTACTTGTATTTAAATTCCTTAAAGCATAATTTTCAATAAGAGTTGAAATTTAAGCTTAGAATAGATACACAGTTGATTCCTTATAATGTTATGATACAAAAATTAAGAAAGTACACAAAATCCTTACAACAATGAACCAATGGCTATGCATTGAAATTCTTTTTCAGGAATAGATACATGTATCCCATTTTGACACTATAAATATATATTGTTTATAAATTGAATAGAGAATAAAAAAATCTAAACAAACTTCTTGTCTTTACTAATCAGATGATCAAAGACTTCTAATCAATAAGATGCAGACTTTGTTTTCTTTTCAATTATTTCTAATTAAGAAGGAGATTTACATTATTTTGCCCCAGGTTATAAAGTGTACTCCATTGGCAGTTTTATAATCTGTAATTAGGGTGGTTATCCAAACAAAAGGATTAATTCATGCATGTCATTATAATTATAAATTTTGATCTTTAAAATTAGCTGAATTTTGTAAACTTAGATGTGGAACTTTACCTTTGTCTGTCGAGACGGGTCGTTATACGAAACCACCAATACCTTTAGAAGAAAGAATTTGTCCATTTTGTAATAATGCTAAAGAAGATGAGATACACTTTTTGATTAATTGTGACATTTACAGTGACTTAAGGTTTAATTTGTTTCACAGAGCTATGGTCATGGATAATTCTTTTTTTACAAAGTCAGATTTTAATCAATTTGTATTTTTAATACAGAATGTCGAATTACAATACGAGTTATCTACCTTGGTGCATAATATGATAAGAAGACGTCGCGCACTGAAAAGCAATCTACACTCTTGATTGTATATTTCCGTAAAAGCCAAAGTTACATTTAATTTATTCATTTTTCTAAATCATTTTATTCATGTTTTATTTATTTACTATTTTACTGAGAGGCTTTAAAAAATAATTAAAAAAAAAAAAAACCAAGATTATTTCAATTTATTCTTCGCAATCTGTTTATATAACCCCTTAAAATTTTTTTTTTATCACATATCATTTATTTTTTACTAATGTACGTCATACTTAATTGTGTCATTCCTATTTTAAGTTATTTTTTTTTTCTCTTTTATTTAATTAATGAAAAAATTGTGTAAAATTCGGATAATTTTAAACATTTTTGACATTTTACTACGTTTTACAATTTGTTTTTGTTAAATAGTTATATATTTGTATATATAGTGTCTCATAAGCCTGTCTAGGCTGGGTATTTGTCTTATTTATTGTTATGCAATGTATTTTATATAACCTGTATAAAAATCTGTAGACAAGTATGTGACACTTTAATAAAATAAATTATTATTATTATTACTAATTAATTATTCTACCTTTTTTACATTTTTTTCAGAGGAAAATTCCAACATTGTTATTAACTATGTTAAAATATACCTGTTTTTAATTAGTAAAAAACAAAAAGCTAACTTAAGTCAGTATGAAAGCAAAATTTATGAAAAAATCTACAATATAGATAAGTGTTTGATGCAATGCGATGTCATCTCTCATTCATGTTGAAAGCCAAAATTTCAAGAATTTTTGAATATTTCTGATCCTCAGTAAGAGAATCCATCTAGAAAACAACTGTCAACTTAAAATTTGGAAACAATGCTTTAAATGCTGTTTTTGGTAAAGTTCTAAATTTCCACTATACAAACGTTGAGCAACAATATTGTGTTTAACTTACTTTATTATTTTTTTGTAATTTTGTAGCATGTAATTGACAGTAATCGAAAAGTAATGTAATTACTTTTGATAAAGTAATCGATTGCAATCGATTACATACACAAATCAAAGTAATCGATTATTAATCGATTACACAAAAATCCTTCATGTAATCGATTATTAATCGATTACATTTGTCAGTAATCGTGCCCATCCCTGATATATAACAATACTCATAAAGCGTTTTGTGTTTGTACCGGCCGACAAAGCAGCCAACAAAGTGTCGGTTGTATGACGTAAATATTACAAGGAAGTCCTCAAGAATGAAATTACCCATTCAACTACATTCAAGGCCGTACGCTCCCACAAAGAGTTATATGATAAATAATCAATGTCATCTTCACACCTCCGCTAAGCGCCTCCTCTGAACATTTGAAGGTCCCAACTATGTATTGATTACATAAACTTCACAAAAAAAAAATGTAACATATCGTTTCATCGCGGCCTCTAGTAAGTTTTCTATAACTAATCTTTCGGCGATTTTGATTACTTCATTAACTACTTTCAAAGAACGTATCATTGATTTTTGTTAAAAACAAAAAAGTATGAAATATTGGACATAACCATTTTTGGGGTTTAAAAATTCGTTTGATGTTTTAGATACGTTACGTGTTTTGATAGGCCTTTTGAAATGGTTGACAGTTGTTTTTTTTTCCAATCTTTATACTACACTTCTACACTATCTTATCAAACAAAGGTTTTCCTAAATAACTAAATGGCCGTTTGATGAATCTGATTACAAATGTATTTGCTGCAACTCATATAAATCACTTTCTTTTCTCAAATGAGAAATGTATATATCCTATGTATATAGCCCGAGAACACAGTTATTTCGCCGTGCATTTCCTTTAAACAATAAATTCAAATTAAAAACAATCGCACCTGCTTTATCCCAAAAAGATTTTTACAGTGTAGTGTACTACTATTGGGACAAATACTATCAAAATTATATAAAAGTCTACCTGCTCTATCTAAAAATATTGACAATTCTTTGTTAAGGGGGTCTAAAATTCAGTTTGACCGCTTCAAACATACTAATTTTTGACCTTTTTCAAATGGACCAAATCACTACTTAACATAAATATTCAACAACCACAATTTTCAACATGTAATATTTTCCTTTTACTCAATATGCCAGGCATAAAATATAAAGAAAAAAGTTTGGAAAGTGTATGAAAAAAATTTGCAAGTTATACACTGTTCACACTAGGGAATGAGGGACTATATTTGTAGACAACGAAAATCAAAGGACGATAACTGTGTCCGCGGACCTATTAGGATAGAAACACTTGATCAATTATAATAAAACTTTGCATGACCTAAGCTTAGGAAATTATAAGATAGTTG